TTTTGCACCCTGTTTTCTTTTTAAAAAATGTACTCCACATGAGTACACTTCAGATCCTGTCGAGTTTAAAGCTTGGGGCATTCCAATCTTTGGTCCTTCCTGCTCTCAATCGATTTCATTGGGAACATGTAGTAGCCATACCATACTGACATAAACCCATCCATCTTCCTTAATCCTCCTGAATATCCCCTTGCTCCACTTGCAGTTTTCATTTCAGTGATAGGTGGGGGCTGATGGGGGGTTGGATACGACCTGGCAATTACTTTCCCCAAGAATCCTGACACTGACTATTCTGTTCTGAATGGATGTTGATGACAAAGGGCAATCACCTTGGGAGTCTTTTACCAAATGTAATCAAAGACAGATGTGGACGATGGGCAAACATCTGTATGACCCCCCCAGTTTCAGTTTGGTCCAAATCCACCGGGTTGATTGTTGTGATTGTGGGTCCTGGTGGAAAATTCAAGGATGAGGCTCCAGAATCACTTCCTCCTTCACCAAGGTGGGAAGGAGTCACTGCTGACACCAGAATCTGGCTGCTTAAGTGCCAGATGGGGTAGGTGCGAATGGTGGCAGGAACCTGTTCTTATTTACCATCCCCATTGTGGGGGCTTGGGCAATTGTATAAACAGATGCGATATCACATTATACAATACACAAAAAGCAAACAAGCACTGTACAAATGACGCAGACCACAAGTGCTCAAGAAGTCATGCAACTCTGTGTGCCATTTATGGACTTGTACTATTCATGGACCTGCACATTATATGATGTAATTTGGTTTTACTGATTTTTGTGGTCCTCTATTATTCTTGTTATATGAATATACTCTTTTTGCATGACTTCTTGAGCACTTGTGGCCTGCGTTATTTGTACAGTGCTTGACTGCTTTTTGGCATGGGCAATTGTCCACCCAAGTATGGAGCCTAGGACAGTGGCCCCCATTGGCTGTCAAAACTGGTTCTGAAACCCACACAAGTATAGGACATTTGTCTTCCTCTGTACTTTTTCCAGCTCTGCAGTGTCCTTTTTTTTTTTAAAGATTCGGTGACCATAACTGTACAGAGTTTTCAAAATGATGCCACACCATAGATCTATACAGGAGGATCAGAATATCAGATGTTTTATTCTCAATGCCAAACCTAATAATCTTTAATATAAAGTCTGCATTTTTCACCACTGCAACACACTAGGTTGGCACTTTCATTGAACCCCTAAAATTTCCATTCAATATAGGGGTTAAGCAGTGCTGTGTATTGGCTCCCCTCCATTTAACCTTTTAAAAATGATTTGGCCAAGGGGCTAGAGGGGATTGATGGACACAGCCCAATTTTGAGCTCGCGCCCGGTGCCCTTGCTATTGTATGGAGACGATGCTGTAATTCTTTCTAGGTCTGAAGTAGGGATAAAGAGGTTGTTAGCACACTTTATAGAATATTGCGAGATGAACGGGTTATCCGTGAATTTTGACAAAACTAAAATAATGGTGTTCGGAGATTCCTGGAAACCTATCAATTGGTGTGTTAAGGGTAAAGCCATTGAACAGGTGAAGAGTTTTAAATATTTGGGAATTAATTTTCACCATAGTGCTAGGTGGGTAGCACACAGATCAGAAGCAATTAAAGCTGCGAATTGCTGTGTGCTAGCAATAACCCGTTTTTTTTTAACCAAGGGTAACCAGTATGTTCCTGCGGCCCTAAAAGTGTTTGAGCATAAAATTGGAGCGAAACTTCTTTATGGGGTGCCCATTTGGATCACTGCTTTTAACAAAATGGTAGAACAACTTCAATCCAATTTTGTGAGGAAAATACTAGGGCTGCCTCCGTGTGTTCCTTATGCTGCCATTTGTTTGGAAGCCAATTTGATACGCTTGGAAACAAGGGCTTGGATAATTACTTTCAGATTTTGGTTACGTTTGCATTTCAGGAGCAGTCCCAATAGCCTTATTCCATATCTGCTGAAAGAGTCTCATTGTTCTAAGTGGTTTGCTGCTATAGAAAGGAAAATCGTCTCAATAGGCTTATGCCTGAATGATATGATGTCCTTATCTGAAATTCACATCTTTGCTCTGCTCAAACAGAGATGAATTGTTATTGAAATGCAAGAGCTTAGAGCTTTGGCTTCTGGAAGATGTTCCCCTGTAAGATGGGCACGTTTTCCGATTAATGCCCCAGCACAATACTTATCGGATCTGACTTCCCCACAGCTGCGTAGAGCATTTATCCTTGCCCGTTTTAAAGTGCTCCCTTCTGCGGTTTTAGCAGGAAGATTTAAGAAAATCCCCTACTCTGTAAGGTTCTGTGATTGTGATTCAGAGGAGATTGAAAAAATTGAACATGTACTCCTCTATTGTAGTTTGTATGATGACATTCGGGAAGCATATCTAGAAGATATTCTTAAGAATTATGCCAAGCAATCCGATGACAGAAGGTTGTATCGTTTATTGGCTTCACAAAATATAGTGGTTATTGAAGCAGTTGCCAAGTTCTGTAACTGCCTTATAATGAGGAAGCTGTGTGTCAAATCCATGAACTGAATGGTGATTGTGTATGATTCTGATATATGCCAATAAAGGTTTTGAACTGAAGAACTTACACTTTCATTGAGCTATCTTTATTCCTCTCTGTCTCTGCAAGTTCAGACCACATTAGCCTATACTTGAGATGGGGATTTTTTTTTTGTCCTAATGTGCATCACTTTATACTTAACTTTACACTGAACTTCATTTGCCACATGGTTGCCCACTCATCTGGTTTGTGGAGGTCCTCTGGGAGCTCTTCACTGTCAGCTTTGATTTTCACCATCCTGAATAATTTGGTGTCATCTGCAAACTTGGCCACTGCACTACTCAGCCCTAGTTCCAGATCATTTATGAATATGTTAAACACTACTGGCCCCAGTACAGATCCTTGTGGGTCCCCACTGCTTACTTCCCTCCATTGTGTGAACTGTCCATAGATTCTTACTCTTTACTTCCTTTCATTTAACCAGTTTTTAATCCATAAGAAAATTCGTCCTCTTATCCCATGATTGCTAAGCTTACTCAGATATATGTCTACTGAAAGTGCCTTTTGAAAGTATAGGTATATAACGGTTACATGTGTACATGCTTGTTCACTTTCTCAAAGATCTCCAAAAGGTTGGTGAGGCTGGAGTTCCCTTTGCAAATTCTTAATTATTATTAATTGTTGGTACAGCATGATTAAAAATGTAGACTAGCTCCAAACTGCAATGGATCCCCAAAACCTATGTCAGATATTAAAATATCACAAGTGGGGGACCCGCGATACTCGCGGGAGAGGGGGAGCTCCACACCTATGAGGAAGAGGAGGAAGCAGCAGGAGGAGGCAAGTTCCCCCCCATCCCACCAGTTCCCCCGTCTCCTCCACCCCCCTCCACCCCCTGGCTCGATCTCCCCCCCTGCCCCAGAGTGCACCCCCCCTCCAGAGGCCAGGTCTACCCACCCCTTCCCACTACATTGGTAGACCTGGCCTCC